CAATTGCTCACCACCCGCAGACCACCGATGCTCAGCTAGTTCTCGAGCCACGATCTAAACCCCTGTCCAGCTTCCCCCCAGTTATATATGGAGCATGACATCATATGGTATGGAATATCCCTTTGGCCAGTTGGGGTCAGCTGTCCTGGCCGTGTTCCCTCCCAGCTGGTTGGGCACCTCCAGCCTCCTCGCTGCTGGGGCAGGATGAGAAGCTGAAAGTCCTTGACTGCTTAGCAACAACCGAAACATCAGTGTGTTTTCAACATTATTCTTATCCTAAATCCAAAACCCAACACTATTCCCAGTAGTAGGAAGAAAATTAACTCTATGCCAACTGAAACCAGGACAACACTGTCCAACCTTGCTCATCTATAGGATGTGGAGCAGCATTTTGGGTTTGCAGATTTGCCCTGTTGTTCCTCTGACTGTAATACACTGCTGCGGTAACAAAAGGATTGCAAGGTGCTGCTTAAACCTCAGCCGCCGGCACAAAGCACGTGCCCTGCACGTGCAGCTTCGATGAATGGGAGCGGTGAGTGAAATCTCTGGTCTTTAGGATAGTCTGGAATCTGTGAGTGCAGAATTATTGGTCACGTTGAAATGGTCGGGATTTGCAAGTCCAAGCAAGCTCAGCGAAGCTGCGGGTACCTGGTTCCTCTAAAAATCACGCTTTTGCATTTTGAGGTTTCATCCAGTGAAGGAAAGACCTGGTGAACGCCACTGGTCCTCAGCCACTGGAAAAAAATCCAAACTCTTTCAGACCCGGTATTCAAACCCCTAAGCTGCCCAGTTCCATCTCTTGCATGGTTTCTGCTTTTTCCTCATTCGGTTTTACCTTACTCGGTGGCATGGGCTGCTCCAGCATCTGTTTGACGTCGGGGAGCATCAGCTGTACAGTTGCATCTGTGACGCTAATTAGCAAAACATGAGAAGGCTGAAATTAAGATACATGTTGAACCGCTATTCATACTTCAGCTTTTCTTTCTTTTCCAGAGCACGGTAATTGTGGAGAAGACTGTTCAAGACCTGATGAACCTAATGCATGACTTGAGCGCCTATTCGGATCAGTTCCTCAACATGGTGTGTGTGAAACTCCAGGAGTACAAGGACACCTGCACCCTGGCCTACAGGTACAGGCAGGCTTGGAAACCGATGTATGCCGGAGATATACAAGCTCTTGGGCTTTTGCTGTTTTGCTATGAGTAGGCAGGAGTTACTTCTAGAAGTCATCTCTAGATGGGATGGTCAAGGAGATTTCTTTCTAGGTGGGGAAGAAATCTGAAATAGTGATCACTGGAATATGAAAAGTCTTGGTTTCCCAGTGACTTTGTCCACATCGCACTGTGGTTTAGGCTCTTTAAACGTGGATGGCTGGTTGTGGAGTGTAGAAACCACATGGCTTTTAGATGGGATGGTCAAGGAGATTTCTTTCTAGGTGGGGAAGAAATCTGAAATAGTGATCACTGGAATATGAAAAGTCTTGGTTTCCCAGTGACTTTGTCCACATCGCACTGTGGTTTAGGCTCTTTAAATGTGGATGGCTTTTCTCTTAATCAGGCAAAAGGTGAGCTCGGGTTGGAGATGGAGAGTATAAGGCATCATCTTTAACGTAAATAGCTGTATATAGCTATTGCTTGCTTGTAAGAAAGTCAGATCCTTCTATTTGAGTGTTCCTGCTATATTTTAGTTAATGAGATTAACATTTGGGTATTCAGAACCCATGGCAGCACAGGAATTAGTAACCACAACACACCATATAAATACACACACATTGGGTTTCGTGAAACTTTCCCAAAACCTTTCCGTGAACTTATTCTTTCAAGGAGTCATCAAATGCTCTGTCCTGGGCTGTCTTTGTTTATCGGTGGTTTTGGGTGATCGGTGTGATCTGCTTCCCCAGCCACGGCGTGGAACCTGAATGCAGCATGGTCCCACCTGGCACAGGGTTATCCTTGCTGCGTCGTGGGGTTGAGTCCTTCGGGTATTTGCTTTTTCATAGATTTCCCAGGTAACGGTCGATAAGTAACTTGTTCTCTGCACATCCCTGTTACCTATCTGAAAAATGACCCTCCCTGGAAAAGGGGGACCAGGAGCGTGCCCCGCACCGCGGGGATAAATGCTTGCGTTGCAGGACACTAAATATGCTGGGGCAGTGGGGGCTATAATAGCGGCTACACATAATCTCTTGTAATGGCTAATTGAGGCTGGCGATAGCAGGGGAAGCTGAAAAAGCCCCTTGTGTTTTCTGACCAAAAGCATTAAGAAATTATTTCCTGTTGCCTGATTTCATTCAGGAGAAGCTTCATCTGGCAAGCGGCCGCGTACGGGCTCATTATTATTATTAATAATGCCAGTAATAGCAGTGAGCACATATGTGGGCTAAACTTTGTCTGAGTGCTCGTGTAAATTGGTAGCTGCTCATGTGCCATTGTCCAAAATGCTCATATTTTATATGAAACTTCACTGCCTGGAGCCAGACAATAGATGTAATTTCTTTGGCTTGAACTTAAAGGTCCTTCCTTCCTTCCTTTGCTGATACCATTCCTGGATTTGGCACCTGCTGAGGAGTAATTAGGACAGCCCTAATTTGGCAATATCCTGATTACAGCAGGAGGAAAAACAGGAAACGTTCTAGTTTTGCTGCTAGCAAATGACTGACTGAAATAGAAATCTATATACATTTCAAATGATGCAGAGGAATATAGCAGCTCCCCGGCTTTCCCGGGTTCAATCCGCGGGGACGTTATGCCCTCTGCAGGGATCTCGCGTCGGTACGGCTCCGCGCAGCCTTGTCCTTTGGACCGGGGTTTTCCTTGGGGGTTTGAGAGGGATAAATCCTCATGTTGAGAAAGTTAGAGGAAGGAGGATCGTGTATAGCTGCTTAAAATCAGAATAAACTCCCTGGAGCTGTGTATTAATACAATCAGACAAAGCTATCGAAGCAAGGGAGTGTGTATCTGTTCTTTCGATGTCAAGATAGTGAGAATTTGGGAAGCCAGAGAGGTGGTTTATGCAAGATTTGCACATGGCATTCGTTCGTTCCCCATGTGCATGTGTTTCTTGAAGGGGAATATGAGCAAACGTGGATGAAATGTATTCAAATACAGGCTCCTCAAAGCAAGACTGTTTTATTCAGAGTCCTTTGCAGAACAGATAGCTCTGTCAGGACGTCAGCGCTAAGAAATGCACAGCTGAGATTTTTCATGTTTGATTTCTATTTGGCTCTGATTTTCTAGTGAATGCAAAAAAAAAAAAAACAAACCTAACAGGGATGGCTATGAATGGATTGGACATTTATATAAGTAACAACTATAGATTTTCTTGTTTTAATTCATGACGAATTTCGGAAGCATATTTAATCTGATGTAGGTGAGATGTCTTCTGCAAATTACATGTTTGTAAGTGCAATTTCAGTTTGACGCAAACTGTTTGCAAATGTGAGTTATGTTTTCTGACGAGTTTATGAGGGGTTGGGGATTAAAATGCAAACAGAAATGGGAGACAGAGCCACACAACCTCCTGCTGTGTTGGCTTTTCTTCAGTCTTGTCCAGCCCACATCTGGCTGCTGCTTCAGCAAATCTCTATGAAAGCTGCTCTACCCGTGAGTTAAACCTGTATAGTTAAACCATTTTTACAGGGCTTTGGGAGGTCCTGAAGGGCCATGCAAGGAATCACAGGGACAGGGAAAAACCTGACCAGTTCAAGATAGCTACCTTTAATGTGAGTCTTCCTTTTTCGTCTCTTGCCACCACCCTTCTCAGACAAGCTTTGCTGTTTTGAGTGCTAAAGCTAATCTCATTCCATGTCTTTCTACATGGAAATTGGCCCCATGTTCAGTTATGTCCATGTTGAAGTTGCACGTTCTTATTTTGTTGTCCAACTTTAAGCTCCGTCCTGTGTGTCCACCCCCTTCTCACCAATCTTCATCCTCCCTCCCTTGAACAACCGTCCTTTTGCACATTTTTCAGCCTACCTGGAGAGTCTGAGTAAAGGCACCACTCACCCAAATGAGTCTCCTTAGTCTGTAAAAAGAGACAGACATCACCAAAGAGTGGTTCGCCTTAATTAAAAACTCTCCGGAGGTGGTCAGCTCTCTCCATCAGCTTTGAAGGCAGCTTATGGTGACCAGCCTCCTGGCTGAACTGTCTCAGCTAAATTTGTAAGATGGGATATAAGTGGGCCTATATCTCTTAAAATGATGAAGAAAATAAATATCTCAGTTCCTGCTTTCCAGCCAGGCAAAATAAAACTAAGCCCTTTTTTTATTGATAAGGAAATGAGGAGCAGATTAATTCATCCAAGGTGTGGCGTCTGCAGTCAAACAGGATTTCTCAAGTCCCCAGGAAACGCTCCTGCCACTGAGTTTACTACTTCTTATTGGCTTCTTCCCCTTCTTGCATAACTTTTTGGGGTTTTAAGTTGTCTTTTTGACTCTTTTTGGGCTGGGGTCTGTCTCCCTCAGGCAGTTAGATACCAGGCGTATGCTGAGCACGCTGCTTTTAAACTCTTAGCAGTGCAGCAGAGCTCAGCATGGAAACACCACCTTGACCCTGAGAAGAGAAAAAAAAAATAAAATTCAAAAATACATTTGGCATAAGACAACAGAGTCCAATTAGCCCCTGTGGCCCCCCAGATGTTTTCCTAATGAAAAGCCGTGACCCCCCAGCTGTATCCAGGGATGTTCCCCATCGCTCTGCTCCCAGCTCGGGGTAGCAGTGGTACAAATCTGGGACCGTTACCACCAGCAGATGTTTTCTGGATGAAACCCACTGATCTGCGGAAGGATGAACTCTCCTCGCTCACGTGCCATCACCTGTGTAAGCGTTACACCTATTCCCTACCCGCTCCCAGGAGCTGGGTACAAACAGATGGCGTTTTCCTTGGCCCGTTGAGCTGTGAATTAATTAGTTGATTATGGCATTGGTGGTAGCAAGTAACCCTACTACAGCAGCAGGAATAATTACACAGGAGTTTGGGAGAAGGGGGGGGTTGTTTGAAAGGAAGCATTTTTGAGCTGTACTAAAACATGTCATCCTGCCTTGTGATAATTGACTCGAAGACCCGAATTAGATTGACATTGATAAGAAGTTACGGAGGCTGAAAACTGGCTGAGATGCTAGAAAGAAAAGGTGGGGGGAAAAGAGGTTTTAATTGATGGGGAAAGCTGGGCATCTAACGGAGACGGGGTTTGTACCACCCTATTTAACATCTTCCTTAATGAGGGGGTGTTTGAAGTAAAACCAGCCTGTCAATAAAAATGGGGAGGTGTTGCAATCATGGGAAAGAACGGAGACACAGTTCCAAGGGACCCACGTAGTGATGGCAGTGCCCCGGTATTGATTAATTTGAAGCTCCCTGTTGATTTCAGTGGAGAATTTGAGCTCCAGTGGCTCATGTACCCATGAGTACCGCGTCACCAAAAGGTGAGAAAAGCAGGAATCATGTGGGTTAGGCTCTCGAAAACGCTGACCCTAGAAAAGCAAGGACACCGAGCTCAGTTTGCAACTTGCTGTAGCAGTGAAACAGCCTCCCCTCTCTCCTCCCCCAACACCCACTCCAAAATGCAATAGGATTTTTGAGGACAGCAGATAATAAGGATCATAAAACAGAGAGGTAGTTCTGTCCTCTGTCTAACTCCATCAGAAGACTCCCAAAGATGACTTGCAGCCGGAGACGTCTGAAGGGCTGTAAATAATTGAAGAGAGTAAATAGTGAAAGTGGTGAATGCTGAGGCTGCTGTAAGGGGAAATAACGGGGAGTAATGGGATGAAATTGAGTAAAATAAAACACAAGCGCAGTATCAGGATTTTTTGTGGGGTTTTTTTTTTTTTTGTCCAAGAGTTAGATTTGTTCAACTGTGAAATAGACTCCCAAGGGAAGGAGTCTATTTACTCATTTACATCTGGAGAGGACAAAGCACTGGCTAATATATTCGATGGAACAGTTGTCTTGCCTTGGCAGAGAAGTGGCCAGATATCATCAAATTTATTTTTTCCATCTCAGATGTCAGAGATTCTGGTGGAGCTCTTTTGTTTTTTACCACTGAGTTTTCACCGGGGTGAAAAAAAAAGAGACCTTTTTTCATAAGTGGAAAAACACCAAGTTCCTAACAGCAGCAGAAGGCCAAATTGAAATTTTGACGCTGAGGTCTTCTGTGGCTGGAAACAAAATTCATTCTTTTGTCTGTGGCAGATTGAACATGAAACTTAAAGAGAAGGCAAATTTATATCTAAGTGCATGTGACAAATTCATTTTCACAAATCGCGTGTACTTACTGAGCAGAGGTTGTTTTCTTGGTGGTAGGTGAAAGGAGTGATGGGTTGCTCTGTGCTGGTGGGAAAAGGAGTAATATCTGCTCTGTTTCAAGATAGATCAGCCTTGGCTCCTATCTTAATGCCTTTTTCACTGTTTTCCTTTTCAAAACACAGATACTCAGTGTGTTGTTACTTTTATTTCTATTTATTGACCAAAACATACCTTTCAGGAGATTTAAAATGTGACTGGTTAATCCACATAAAACCCTTAGAAATGTGCGGGGTCTTTATTGTGATCTTGCATGACCCTTCCCAAAATCACCACCTGGATGCTAGTGAGAGCTCCGAGCATCTCTTTGCCCCCGTGCAACATCCTAGCTTGGATCCAGAAGTCTACAGCCGAGTAAACGGCTCTGCAAGGTCCTCACTGAGCTGACATGGGCCAAGCCGGCACAGATACGTCCATAGCGCAGCACCCAGCAACTCCGGTTCTTGGTTGACACATCCAGTGTTGAACCTCTGCGTCTTCTTGATGCACAAAGTTTCTCTCCATGTTGGAGAAGCCTTTTTTTTTTTTTTTTTTTTGGGAGGGGGGGATGGTGGACACAGTAGCAGAAAAAGATCTACATGGCATTTACACTTCTTCAACGCCTTGCATTGTCAGACACAGCAAACATGCATTATTTCTAGGTGTCTTGTAGCCTTGTGAGCAAGGGATGGTGGGTGTTTGAAGGGAGACACAGGTCCCAGAGCCTTTTCAGTCTTTTTGCGTAGGAGAAGGTGCAGTCTCGTAGCACACAAGGGAGGTCTTGATTCTCTTGTTAACCTGCAGCTAAGCCTCTCTATAGGAGCAGCACCTCTGAGACCTTGTCTTTTTAGATGCTGCTTTTCTCAAGTCACACTGTGCTGGTTGTTGGGTGGGTTTGCTATGGTCCCATTCCAGAGGACAGGAAAAAATCCTACTGCCGCCCATTGGGGAGGTCACCACCATGCTTTTGCTTTGAGTGATGTGGACAGGTCACATGTGCTTCTTCTTGGGCTGAAGAAGTAGTCCAACTGGTCATCATGCACAGACCTCCTAGAAGAAGAGCCTTCCAGATGCTCTCCAGAGAACGAAATCAGTGATAGGATCTAGAAGGAAACGCCAGCACCCCTAACTCCCACTTGCCTTTTCCAAGAGATGGAAAAACACCTCCTAGATCCTTGCAGTCTACTGAACAACCCCAGAGTGGGAGAGGACTTTCCTCCCTCTACTCACCAGTCTGCCAGTGAAGTAGCAAACATTGAGGAGGACTCTGCTGATGGTTGTTCATGAGCAATATCAACGCAAAAATTAGGTAGCTAATTGACTCCTTCAAATACAGCATCCCATTTGTCTTCTGCAATTGCCAGTGAGGATTTCAGATTAGTTACGCTGCCAAAAGTATTAAAAAGGGAAAGTCTTCATAATTGGAATATGCTGTGATCTTTGATTTGATTTCACACATACATATGATTCGGCTGAAATCTCTATTATTAAATGTTTTGGATGACTGGAGAGAAGATCCGAGACCCTTCATTTCCTTTCATTGCTTCAGACCTGGTCTCCAAGCTGGGCCAGCTGGTGTGCGGTGAGCCTGGTGGCTTCCACCCAGGTCTTCCTGGGCAGGTTTCCACATTGCAGTCACAACACGATCAGCAGCACCCGTTGAGCTCGACTGAGATTGCAGAGAACAAATGAGCCATGGAGAAACTACCTTCTCTCTCTCCTAGTACCAAATGACCTCTTCCAGTTGTGTAAATGATCGCAAGTTGAATGATTTCAAGGATGGGGAGAATATGGTCCTTTTTCCCTTAAAATACTCTATCAAAGTACATCAAGAGTTGTGAGTTTAAGAGAATTTTGTATCCTGTCCACCCGTGTTGCTGTGCCCTCCACACGAGCGTTTTGTTGAATTCCTCTTTGGACCCCCTTCCTTAATGCTTAATGCACATTTGTATGCGATAGGGATTTTAATGAATCTGTGCGGAATTGCGTGGAAAGCACAATTTGCTTCGCACTAATGTGATTGTTGCTGCTTTCCCCATAGGACCATCGTGCAGTCGGATGAAAAGCTGGTGATCAGCGCGTCCTGGGCTAAAGATGATGATATTAGCAGGCTCCTGAAATCTCTGCCCAACTGGAGCAACATGGCTCAGCCCAAGCAACTGAGACCCAAGAGGGAGGAGGAGGAAGACTTTATAAGGTAAAATATTTTACGAAGTTGTAAAATAGTTTCAAGGAGAGTAGCAGCAACGGTAAAACCTGCTGGGAAAAATATAATTATTATATTTGCGTAGCTGTGGTGTCCCCAGGTATGAGAAGAGGTTGAGATGTCGCCTTTCCTCAAGTGGAGTAATGAAACTCAAGTCCACGTGCCATTACGCTGCATGATTTTAAAGCCGGGCACCAGCTTTTCTGAACTGAGAACTTCTTATGCCTTGCCTGTATTTGGTTCTGTTGATGGTATTGAGAATTCATTAGGGAAATTACCTGGTTTGGTGATGTTTCTGGGCTTTGCTTATCAGTCATATGATGGATTGGTAGATAAACCATCCCGAAGCTCTTTATCCTTCAAGAGAAAGGAGAAAGCAGAGATTTGTCTCACATGTAGCAAAGGCAGAAGAGAGGGAGGCCATGGTTCAATAAGGAGGCTGCAGTGGCAGCACCAGCTTGCTGCTTTCCTGCCCTTATTGCTCAGTTCTGCTCGCTCTGTTGTCCAGACAAGGCTATTTGAAGAACCACACTTGTCAACAGAGTCAGAAAAGTGGCCGGGATTGGGGAGGGAAAGAAAGGATTACTTTTAATTTAGGCAGATCCTTGTCCTGGTTGATGGTGCTACTCTGATCACGCATGCAATGAAAAGAGCAGCGGTCTGCAACCTAATGGAGAGGCCAACCGGTTGTACTGGGCAGGAGTTCTCAGAACTGGTGTCACCAAAGCTGCCCTCCTTTACAGCCGTGACCTGGTGGCGTTTCTCCTCTGTCCCAAGCCCAGGAGCTATGTAAGGAGAGTCAAATGAAAAATATTGGTACCTTCAGAGGGGATTTTTTTCAGAGGCAACTTACTGTGTCCAAACCAGATTGTTTCTACCTTTTCAGACAAGTGAAAGCCTGTAAACAGGCAGATTGCCTTTCCCTGCACACTGTAAATGCCTTGGTCTCTGAATTGTTGAGGCGTCCTGAAGAAACAGGTCCTCTTTGTCACTCCAGTGAGTCAAAAAGCTTGTCTGTACATTCCCATCACTATTCATCACTTCCTTGATTGGCATTTGGCTATAAAACTGTAGGAGTAAGTGAAGCTGTTGAAAATTAAAGTCTAATTTGCCCAGATGATTGTCATTTTGCTTATTCACTGAATGCAAGCACAATAACATAAAGATGATGCAGTCTAGAGAGAGGAACAACGAAGAGTATAAAATCTGTCTAGTCACAGAAATGTTTGCCCATACCGCGGTGGGGATAATCAGCTTTGCCGGTGTATAAAAAATCATCAGTGATAGCGGCAGAGGGAGGATGCAGAGCCCTTGAGGTCTTTGTGCAGTCCCTGGGGGTTTCGAGATTCATGGATTCGGTCCTAGCTTCCATCTTTGCCTTCGCGTTTATCCTTTGTTTCTTGGCACAAAAAGGTGCTGGGATGCCCTCCTGGCTCTTACGGCGATTTCTGAGCCGTCAGCGTGGGACACCAGCACTTCCATGGATGCAATGCTGGGTACAACCGGCTGAGCATAACCTACTAGTCTAAATCTGATGGCCGAGCTCAGTCTGATGCTAGCAGTGCCAACATTTTGATCCTAATACTCATTTTGTTCCAGTATTGTCATTTTACTATCCATTAATTGGAAGGATTTTGTGAAATTGTATATCAGAGGTGTTAGAACGGAAAGCCTGTTAGGTCATCTGCTTTGAATTCACTGGGAAAAGCTCCCGTACTGTCTTTTTTTTTTAGGCTAGACATTAGGACAAAGATCTTTTCTCAGTATCTGTTTGCACAGAGCATCATGTATTGAGCCTCAGCGCTTCAGAGTACCGTGTGAATGCTCCTGCAGCATTAATTTAAATGATAATAATTGGTCTGGGCCAGTTTTAGCCATTGATGGTAAGCGACATGGCTTATAAACTTCCTCAAGAATCTGTGCATAGTTGAATAGATCTCTCCCGAAAGCTTCAAAATAAAATTAATTGCTTGTCCAGTTTTTTGTCATCTTCTTTCCATTTAAGCAGACTTTTTTCAGACTTTCTCTTAATACAAAGGAACATGTTTTCTTCACTGCTGTTGCTTCTTTCTCTTGATGAATTGAGAATTCATCTGTTGATGAATTGGGAATAATTCTGCCGTAGCCATCACTGCCTGACCACTGCAGCGGAGCCACAGGGAAATGGGTCCTGCGGATACCTTGGTTATTAGGGTCATGGCTGTGACTGGAGAGCCTGGGAGAGCTCATTTCAATCTCTTTAATCATCTAAGATATTTTAAACCTAGATGTACAGATACCCACCTGTGTTCACAGACCCCGCTTCTCAGCTAGCAGGGACAGGACTAAGCATCCTTTCCTGGAAAGGAAGGTTTAAGCTTGATGAAACATGGGAGCGTATTCTTTTTGGACATAAAACAAGGCTGACAGCAGTGCTTGAACTACTCGGCAGCATCCCTTTAGGAATCTTGCTAAATTAAATATGTCCTAAAAGTTTACCACCAGTTTTTGTACTGTTGCAGGAAGAGATATCAGTGCAGTTTTCTTTCCCTCCCCCTCCCCAGGTTTCCTGTAACTCATTTGTTTAATTAAAAAGAAGAAATCCAAACGTGATGTCTTTGCAAAAAAAAACAAAAAAAAACAAAAAAAAACCAAAAACCCCATGCATATCTGTGTTGACAGTGATTGATTTTGTTGTCTTAACCCGCCACTATCTCTTTTGCGAATAGATGTCAAAAGGCAGGGTAAGATACTAGCAGAATCTTCCCATTAATATTCTGGTGTGGTTGGCCAGACAAAGGGACCTGATTGAGCATATTATAGTAGCTCAGAACTTGGCAAGGGGAGAAAGGAAAGAAAAGTCATGCCTCTATTCGTATAATTAGTTTTTAAAGCTCTGAAGGCTATTTGGCACTGGGGTGAGTGTGAAATATGCTGCCCTTATCGCTTTATAAAGGTTAGCCTTCAGTTCATTACTGAATCAGATATGTTGGTGATAAAACCCAAAGATGTATCATTTCCAGGTTTGCCTTTGACGAGGAAAAGCAATGGAAAAAGAGCTTCAGATCTGGTCGCGCTCGAGTTAGAGCACAAATTTGTGGGTTTTGGTGCGGCTCTGCAGCACAAGGGGTGGCAAGTGGCAAGGGCACTGGGTGCCCAAGGAGAACCACGTCTTTGGGGCGCTGAGGAAGGCGTGCTGGCAATGCACGGTGCCTGGAAACCCCACGTCGGTCTGAAGATCACACCACGACACAGATTTTTCTGGTTGCAGATCTGAGGTACCAAACCGGTGTTAGGAAGGGGGTGGTGATTTCCCTCTCACCTTTTGACTCCAGGAACCTCCTGAACACTGAACTTGGGATCAGATTCTCAGGCTAAAGTTAATGGAGCAATAAAACCCCCACTTCTCAGCATCTCCACGGGCCACATGACTTTTCCTTTCACTGCTTTTGGGTTTGTTTTAGTTAGGATAACCCTGACTACAGGGTGCTCCTGCTGCCTGCTGCTTCCTCCCCTGCATCTCCTGTTCAGCTGAGGATGCTCATCCTCACTTGCTCTGCACCAAAAGGAGGGGGTAACATGGAAGGATACCTGTGCGACAGCAGATCCTTCACCAAATCATCCCAAGTTGGTCAGAAGAGTTACGCTATCCCTGCTGCTTGTTAGGATCTCTTCTCTCCCCCCCCCCGATTTAGTTGATGCTGATCCTCTGAGTATATTTCCGATGTAAAACTGGAGCCTACGGGCAGATGTGGGTCTGCTTTGGAAATGCGTCACCGTTGGACAAGACAAAAACATCAGGCTAAAGGAAGAGAGCAGGGATGGGCTAAAGGCTGTCCCTCCAGAAGGCATGATGGCAGCACGAAAGGTACCCTCCGGGCTTGGATATGTAGTGGGACTGTGCCTTGGGAATCACTAACTTGCCTCAGCTCCCGTGGGGCACGCAGCACATCTCTCCTGTGCCCTGGGAGAACGTATCATCCATCCAACGGCAGCAAAGACACGGGCATCCGCTCCGGAGGATGAAACCTCCAGAGGATGAAATTTCCTTCTCACGGGGCAGAGCGCCCGCAGCTGATGGCGTGCGAGCGAGCGCATCTGTACTCCCGATGCAAAGCGTTGGTTTGCCCTGGGAGTAAAATGGAGAGTTAAAGGAGCTAGAGGGCTGAGGTATGATTTTAACCTTCGAAAGGTTCCCACGAGCTCTTCCCCAGAGGGTGCTTGAGGGCTTAGGAAGTTGGTACAGAGCTCCTAGGACCGGTCAGAGCTTGAATTACTTCAGCTGTTTCCAAAGGGATCAACGTGCTGAAAACTTCCCATTGTGTAAATAAACTGCGCAAGCCCAGAAAGCAGAATCGGGAATGAGCTGGGACAGTTTGCATTGGACCGTCAAGTCCTTCCCTTGGTGCAAAGGGAGAGCCGTGATGGCAGAAGCATGGAGTTCAGGTCCTGCCTCGGGGTAGGGTGGTCTTTCACCTTCTTCCACCTCTCTGGGCAAGCAGAAAGCAGTGGCCAAGGTTTTCATCAAAAGCTAAATCTCAGGTTGTTCCAGCTGCTGTCTGGTGGGTGTTTTTTGTAGCATTTGGTTTGGAGCTTTATATTATTTTTATTCTCTTTTGTTGTCTTGGGGTTTCTCCTGCCTGCATGCTCCTTTTCTGCAACCTTGATGTTTTATGGAAGGCTTTTCCCTTTCTTTGCCTCTTAGCTCTCCCTCCCATTCTCAGTTGCAGCTTTTCTGTCTCTCTTTCCTTGTTTCTTTCTGTCTCAAGAATGAAAGATCTCCCTCTCCAATTTCTCAGGCTGTATTTATGATATTCACAATACTTGTAAAGGGTGAAAGGATGATTTTGGAAGATTGGCAGTAGACCGTAGACCTTTTTTCCCTCTACTGGGACTATGAATCTGAGTGTATCATAGGTGTGAGTCATTTCCATTTGATGACAGCCTGCTCCTTTATGTGAAATGGGTTTCTCGATCTCTTTTTTGGATCCTACCAGAACACGTGCCTCATC